TGAATAATCAGACCATCTTCTCCCACAACCTGCTTACCCCAGTTAGGGTTTGGACCCTCCCAGGAATTGAAGACCACTCCATCCCTGGATCTGTAGTTCTGTGGCTTCTTTCCAATGTTCACCATCCAACTTAAAGCCAAGCCTGTCAATCAGTTTGACCTTGGATGGGGAACCTATCAACATATGCTACGGCGTTAAAACTCCACAGTGTGCAGGGGAACTTTGACTTCTGAGTTTCTGACATGCCACTAGACACTCAAATCCCAACTGGTCAGATGTTAAACCTTCCTTCCAATATTTTTAACATGCCTACCATTTCCTTATTCTCCATATTTTCCCTGTCTTTGCTCCCAAAAGAATCCATAATTCCTTTTCTAATTGCTTCCTTCCTATCTACTAATAGAAGCTCTTACAATTGTTTTTACAATTTTTGCCAATTTATTCTCAATCCCTTGGTCATGTTTGGCTGATTTATAAAACTCCCCCAATTTTTAGGCTTATCAGTCTATTTGACAACATTATAAACCTCTGCTTTTAATCCAATATTATCCTTAACATCTCTAGTTAGCCACAATTAGATCGCTTTTCAATGGAGATTTATTCCTCAGAGCATGTTTATTTGTCAGGAATTATGAATTATTTATTTAATTGTTCTCCACAGCTTATTTTCTATCATACTTTTCAATCTAATTTTCCAATCCACCTTAGCCAACCCACTACTTATACCACATAAGTGACCTTGGTTTTAAAGTGGGGCCCTAGTTTCAGCATAACCACATCACTCTCAAACTCCATGTGAAATTCTATCACACTGGGGACTGTATAAAAGGTTGATTAACAAAACTGAGCTTCATGTAATCAGAAGGTCAATCACAGGTTGGATAAAGAAAAATTGGCTCAAGAACAGAAAATGTAAGTTGGTTGTTTTTCAGACTGGAGAACGATAAACAGGGATGTTGCATAGGTTCAAAGCTAGGACCCATTGCTTTTTTGAAGAATGTATATAAATGACTTGGATATTGGGACACAAATCAAGATTTTGAAATTTCCTGATAATACCTGATAATCGACTACAACAGGTCATATATATGCTAGAAAAATTGGCTGACAAGTGGTAGATGGAATGTCATATGGCGAAGTGTGAGGTGATGCATTTTGGCAAAAGGGATAGGCAATATACATGATCAACCATGCAAACTATGGGTTAGGAGCAGGAGTAGTGCCACTAGGCCCTCAGTACTGTACTACCATTTAACAAGATCATGATTGCACTGATTGTTAACCTGAACTCCACATACCCTAATAGCCTATCATCCATTGGTCAGCAAGAATCTATCCACCTTTGCCATAAAAGTATGCAAAGACCCGGTTTCCACTGGCTTTTGAGAGAGTTCTAAAGACTTACAATCCTCTGAGAGAAAAGATTTCACTTCATTTTTTCTTAAATGGATGAACCCTTACTTTTGAACTTGTTCTAATTTTTAAAAATATTTTACAGTTACTTTTTTTAAAAATATGAATGAAATGGCGTAGTTCTAAGGTGGTACAGGGATAGAAGGACTTGAGGATACTAGTGCATAGATTGTTGAAGGTGACAAGATATATGAAGAAACAGTTATCAAGCCTTATGGATCTTGGACTTCATAAATAGAGGTGTTGAATGCAATAACTGAGAAGCTGTGCTGAACAATTATAAAGCTCTATCTTCTAAATATAGACCGACTTTTTCCTAGCTACTGTCAGTTCTGAGGAACAGTCACTCAACCCGAAACGTTAACTCTGATTTCTCTCCACTGGTGCTGGCAGACCTGCTGAGCTTATCCAGCATTTTCTGTTTTTGTTTCTGATTTACAGTGTCTGCAGTTTTGTTTTATTCTTTTTTTTATTCATTCATGGGATGAGGGCATCACTGGCAAGGCAGGATTTATTGCCCATCCCTAATTGCCCAGAGTCAACCACATTGCTGGGGGGTCTGGAGTTACATGTAGGCCAGACCAGGTAAAGATGGCAGCTTCCTTTCCTAAAGGACATTAGTGAACCAGATGGGTTTTACCGACAATCGACAATGGATTCACGGTCATCATTAGATTCTTAATTCCAGATGATTATTGAATTCAAATTCCACCATCTGCCATGGCGGGATTTGAACCTGGGTCCCCAGAACGTTATCTGGGTCTCTCGATTAACAGTCCAGCGCTAATACCACTAGGCCATTGCCTCCCCTTTTGGTTTTTATAAAGCTCTAGTTGGGCCATAGATATTGTATTGGACCCTGTTCTGGTTACCACATTTTAGGAAGGGTAGAATTGTCCTTCAGAGGATGCAGACAATACCAGAATGGTTCCAAAGAATGATGCATTTTAGCTACAATTTTAGGTTGGAGACACTTAGGTTATCCTGCTTGGAGTAAACGAGATTGAAACAGTTTTGAAAGAGATGTACAAAATTATGACAAAGTTAGATAAGGTAGACACTGGAAAGCTGTTCCTTTTAGCTGATGGTACAAGAACTAGGGGACACAGGTTTAAGGTTATGCAAAGAGATAGAGGGGAATAAAGAAAGAACTTTCTTTCAAAGCAAGTGGTAATGTCCTAGAAATTGTTGCCTATGGAGTCAGTGGAAGCGAAGGTGAACAATTATTTCAATAGGAAACTGGATTAGCATTTTAAGAAAATATATTTGTATACCTACGGGGAATAAAGCAGTGGAATGGAAACAATTTGTATACTCTACAGAGGGCTAGCATGGTGTTGATGGGCCACATGATCTCCCTCTGTATCATAGCAACTGTATAACTCTGTGATCACTATTCCCAAGTGGATCTACCAAAAGTTTACTAATGAACACTACCTCATTACAAATTTCTTGAAACAGTCTGTTGCACAGTTGTTTCCTCAATGCATTGTTTGGGAAATCTATCTTGAACACCTTCTATGAAATTGTTTACAAATTCCTTTTACTGATTTGTGTTGACTTTTTGTAAGACATGCATAATTGTAAATTACTTTAGTCACCACTGCCAGTACTGGAGATCTACGAGATTCTGAATAACTGGCAGCACTCCAAAGCAAAGATAGGAACAACAACTCGTCAGGTAAGTGACTGATAGGTGTTAAATTTGGTTGGAGACTCAATGGACAAGGCCCAATATTGTGAGCATTAAATTCCACCCAGTACATAAGAGAAAAGAGAAAAAGATTTCAAGCAAGTTAACAATAATATGATGAACAGATTAACATTATTTGTGAGAAGGACTTTCTCATATCAATCTTAAATTTATCTTTTGCTAGTCTGAACGTGTCTTTTTGTCCTCATCTTGTATTTTAAGTCATTTTCTAGTTTTTCCATTTCAATGTCCTTCACTGTATTGAACAGTCCTATCTGATCAACTCTCAAGCACCTACTTTCATGGCATAAAATCCCACGTTTCGCCCATTGTACCTCATAACACAAACCTTTATTACTGGGGATCAGCCTTTGGCTTTTCTCTGTTCTGCCTCCAATGCTAGAATATCTCTCTAATTTCTCGATAACCAGAACTAGATTCAGTATGAAATGTACACAGTTTGTTCATAATATCATCTAACTTGGTTTCATAACTGTTGTTATGTTAGTTGCATATGTGAAGAATCCGGTCAATTCAGACTCATCTCCAGTTTTCCAACTTCATTCTTTAGCCATTTGAATGCCATTCATTGAGTACTTATCTTGTCCATTTCCCTTTTATGTGTGGGACTTTATACTCACCTGTAATAAATTTCTTCTGCATGTTTTCTGCTTGATGCATAGATAGTCCAATTCATTTCAGAATTTCATGCTGCATCTATTAACATAACTTTCCTTCCTTTAGATTAGCATCATCTGAAAAATTAATTACATTAGTTTTTGAATGCAAATCATTAATATATATTAATGAGTCATGCATTATTCACCATTCCCTGATCTGATTATATTAACAGGTACTTTGTTTTTCTATATCAGCTAATTTTGTATCCATTCCCAGGATTTATCATGACTTTTTTAACATTGTGAATTTAACTAACCTTGCATATGGATCTTTGTCAAATGCTAATTCAGACAAACTAAATCATAGGATTTTTCAGTGCACTTGGGTTGTCATTTCCTCGGATGTCAAGGAGATTGATCATACAAGATGTTCCAATCTGTTGCCTTGCAGTTGCTGTTTACTGGATTATTCCTGTACAGATAAATGTATTACTGATAATCAATTATACTGTTCTGCATGGAATTTAAGAAAGACTAGTTGATTTGTGGTTAGCTATGTCTGTTTTGTCATCTTAGTTAAATATGGATATCACCTTAGCCTGTTTCCAATCTAATATTTCCCCAATGTCCAGTAACTCTTTCATAATCATTAATAATATTCCTGTCTTATCTCTCTCAACACTGGGATAAATACCATCTGCCCCGGGGAAATTTTTTGAGCCCCATTAGCCTGTCAAGACTTTCCACTTACGTTATGTCAAGCAATTAATTTTGTTTTGGATAACTATTTGTTAGGAAAGATGTGTCATTCAGATCTTCCCAAGAGAATACGTGGAGGAAGTGATCATTCAGAATTTGTGCTATTTTGTGCTTATGCTCACTTTTGAGCCTACTTGCTTGATTATTCTCACAAAAGGAAGGATTTTCAATCATAGCGCCAAGGTCAGGTACATGTGAACTCTGAACATACCATTTTTGGATGGTGGTCCATCTTCCGCTACCTCCTTAAAATGCTTTAATTTTAAAAAGAGGATGGGAGTGGGGGAGAACCAACAATCTCCAAGTTATTTGCTGTTAAGCTCATTGACAAGCTTGTTAACAGACACGCAAAGGAAGAATCAAATTTTCAATATTAATAATGGGAAATCTTATCGAATGGACAGTCAGGCTCAAGGGGCCAATGGGCTCCTTTTACTAATTTATATGTTTGTGTCCAAAAGTGAACAGTCTGTGGCACTTTAGCACACTGCAATTCAGAGTACAGCGGGAAGCCATTACTCATGATGAAACATCGCGCATGAAACAGAAATAGACTGAGGCAATCACGCAGTGACAGAAAGCTTCCATCACTTGAGTATTTAGCTTTCACTGCTTGAGAAGTGGGCATTTGGCATCTGTGGGGATCGTGAGCTTTCTTGGCGCTGCTGTCTTGCCAATTCAATTGTCCAGGTAACTGCAAACTATTGCCAATATTTGCCTTTTAAAATCATCCTTCAGAACGAGACAAACCTCCCCGCAGCCCTGCTCTTAACCGGGCGCTAAACTTGCTTCGATGACTAATGCAGCCTTTCTCTTTGAAAATTGTGTTCCAGGGTTCAGCGTTATGTTATGTTTGTGGTTCACTAGAACCATAAATAGAACACAAGGTAGAAAGAGGATAAACTTGAAAAGGGCATACTTTATTAAGGGTCCTCTCAGCTCCACAGCTGGTCTTAGACTGCATCCCCAGCTCTTGCACTGCGTCACCTGATCCATTATCTTAAAGAGGCAATACGCACCCAATTACATACATAACAGGTTGGGACCCCCAAAACATTCCAATGTTGAGTACCCAAACCAGGCTTGATAATTTTTTGCTCAGTCTCTGCTGCAAACTTACTATTCTATCATTGAAAGAGAATCTTAACATTATTTCTTCTTCAGGCTTTTTTAATATAGATCTTCCTTTGCCCATTGGATCATCTTTTTACTGAGGCAGATTTTGGTTTGCTATGGTAATTGGGTGAACAGTAGGCGTTGTAATCATGTCATCAGTAGTCTTCAAAACCAGTGTACAGATCTTTGGAGAAAGATGACATTAGAGTGGGGGCTCTGCAGGGAAGAGAGGTGGCCAAAAATTCCTAAAGCAATCATCCCCTTCTGAAGCTAGCAGAATGAGACAGAAAAAAGGGACAGGACATTTCTGAATTGGGCTTACACTAATCTTTTGAAGGACTGCTTGACTGCCCTGTCCATTCTTAATTTTATTCTTTTTCACTGCAGTAACTTCCACAGACTGTAACCTCCATTGCAATCATCTATTCTATACTACTGATTTTGAAATCACTTGAAAAGGTTACACCTTGTTGAATGAGATATCGTATAACTGGGCTTTTAATGGCATACCAACTTCTTAAAACTACTGCTAAACACACTCAATGGCTTGGAGAGAAACAATTTCATATTTGTGTAATTATAATGATGAAAAACATTTCCACTTTATTTTTAAGTAAGACATTTGTCTGTCTTTACTTGAACTTCTATTTTAATCTAATTTCAATTTCTGAAGCTTTAAATTGAAAGCAAAAGGATTATGGCGTTTTTAAATTCTTGTTTATGGTCTGAGAGAATACTCCAAAGAGATTGATTCCTTGATGGCCTGCCAACGTCACAACTGCTCAATGCCAAGATGTGCTCTTGACTTGACATCAGATTTAAACTGCAGTCAGAAAACGAGAAAGCCCTGCTGCAGAGATTGATACATTTTTGTGAGTAGTTTGTTCAAAGTCACTGGTGCTGCTCTTACCAGAGAACCACAGAGAGGTTACAGCGCAGCAAGAGGCTATTCATCCCATTGTGATTGTATAGGTCAAAAAAAACTAGCCATCCATTCTACTCCCACCTTCCAGGATTGGTCAGTAGCTTTATTTCACTGATGACTGCAAAATATTTGCCAGTTATCTTGCATCGATATGTTTACATACATGCGCACAAATGTAATGTAGCCCAAGTAATAGCAAAATAGAACCTGAATTGATATGTGCTTGAGCAGATGTGGCCATATTTTTAATATCTACTGGTCTAGGTACAAATTTTTCCACTAAACAAATTAGCTCATGTAAAGATTTTTTCTGTAACATTTGTTTTGTGATTAAAAGAGCAATTTATAAAGTCATCATTCTCTTCCCTAGACATTGAGTATTCATAAAAGTCTAGTGATGTTAGAGAGTAATTCATTGAGTATTTACTTTTTAATAAATAGTGGACATCTACTAAAATTCCCAGTGCATTGAAAAGTGCATAATCCTTTTCTCAGTAGTGTGCTCTATCCTAAATCATTCTATCTTCTCAGAGGTTTATTGTCAGGTCTGGCAGATGGGATGGGGTGTCAAATCTGGGAATGTTAGGGCTCAGGTGTGAATTGGGCATGCCACAATTCGTCACAATTCTTTATGGGTATCTGTCCATTCCTATCCCACTCCTCGCCAGATGTATCTCCTTTTTCTCATTTAATACTTTCTTAAATCATTGACAGCTCAACTCCTAACTATTTAACTTCCCTACCTGAGTCACTATTGAGTGGTGTTTTGGTCAAATTCCATTCTTCAGATATTTATTCCCCTCTTATGGTATCTGCATGAAAAAAGCCTTTTCTTCCTTGTTCTGGAAAACCACTGTTCAATTCCCAGTTTCCCCTTACTTTTTTACAATTCTAGAATATGCCATGACCACACAGTTACATGCCTATCTCTCTAAACAAGTCTTTTTGCATCTTTTATAAGAACAGAGTTGGCAGGGGAGAGGGCTTAAAGGAAGTAATTCAGGGTAGAAAAGACTAATTTGTATTCGTATCATACACCAGAAATCCAGGAATGTTTATTATGGTCTATCCAGCTATATAATTTCTCCAAGGACTTAGAAAGGATTTGTCAGGATAGGACATGTTTGTTAGGGTGAGAAAATGTTTTGCTTTGGAAAACATTTGCTTACAATTCCTTGCTATTCATTGATGTTCATTAGCTCTATGAAATTTGTTTTTATTTAATACAATCCGATGGATGTTCAATTTGCAGCTTGAACATAAAACTTGCATTGGAGGTCAGATGTCCATTACAGGAACCAAATAGTTGTCAACATCAATGTCAGTTTTACAATCAATCTTCATTTATTTGACAGGCTGTTTTCTCCAAAGCAATATAATTAATGCTTTGGTATAAGGTCGGTTATTGCTTATTAAATTGACACTTTATTTATACTTCTATTGCACTTCACGTCAAACCATTACTGTTATAAAATTAGTGACTAATATTGAAAATAAACAATCATAATCCATCCATTTTGGTCACTTGTAGCAGATGACTGAAGAGTAGAAGGTCAGAGGATTGAGAACCAGCTTTTTATTACAGTCATATCAGGGTTATGATGAGAAAAAGAAAATGGAGGGTGGATTCAAAATATTATCAAAAGAGAGAACAAAAATGATATAGAGCTCACAATGTGGTGGAATGCATTCTGTAATTGATGTCCACTTTCAGAAAGTATAATAAATTACAGACAATGTTATTTAGGTGGCCCTTTTCCTTTGTACATTTAGGCCAAAATATTAGAGGTGGTATTCTATCTGACAGCAGACTTCTGACAGTCATTGCTAGATTTCCATTAGTGACATAATAAGGACCTTGTGCACTGCAGCCAGGTTTATTGCTACCTGTTCAGAAGAACAGGTTCAGATCAAAAGCAGTAACATCCAGGCAAAACATTCACTGGTGAGGACCTGGCTGATTTTAATGCTCACAGACTTTCCTAATACATCAGATTATAATTTACTCGAGTATACTAGTTTGATTTAAGCAAATCAAGACCTGATGTACTAAAATAAATTGTAATCCAATGTCACAACTCCCAAATTCAGATCAGCTCTAGTAGAAGTAGGAATTGAACTTGAAATCTTCCTGGCCACTTCAAGAGTAAACAGAGAACTTATTCAATGAGTCATTGCGGAAGTCTAATTTCCTATTTTGTCAATATTTTATACTGGTGGCTGTAGTCCCAAAAGCACAAATATCCTCCCCTTTCCTACCAAATGTCTGGCCAAATTCCCCACTTCTCTGTACAAAAGCCAGTGGTCTATTCATTCACCACTGACCAAAAAAAAAGTCAAAGATTAGATATCGATTGCACCATGCACAACAATAAGACTCATAAATAGGACTCATTTTCAGTTAGTTGATTTTCTTAGCGTTTTTATTATAAATAGTAAATATTCACTGTGTTTGTACAGGAAAGAGAATCTTTACATCAAGGCTGTATTTTGCAGTCAAATGTCAATCAGAAGGTTGGATGACAGACACTGCAAAAAATTCAGTTCCATCACCTTTTAAAACCAGCATGTGACAGAAGACGTCATATTAGCTAGATCATTGTACTCAATGGCAGTAATTATCTAATTTGTTACTACATGCTAAGCAAAAATGTACATATCATGAGATACATGCTAAATTCTAAGATAGTTGAATATATAGGAATAAATAATAACCTCTCTATGAATATCTATGTTGCAATGCAACAACTTAACAGATTGATATGATTGTTATAATTACATTTATGGACAAGGTCCTCGGAAATGTTACCACAACCTCCTACCAGGATAGAAACATCAGGCTACCAATCTTTCTGCGTAATTCTGGAACCATGTTGTAACAGGTTGTATGGTCATGCCCAAATTGTCACTAAATTTTAAGCACTCAGCAGAAAGCCCATCATGAACAATTCCTGAACTTCCCACTATCTACACATACCATTTTCCTAGTGTTACTAAAATAAGATATGGTTTTCAGTCTGTGATATAAACCTTGCAATATTGTTCTTCTACACCAATTTTACATGTAAGAATTTATGTACAATATCAACGAAATGTATATTTTGCTCAGCTCTTGTACATCCATTGTGATGCACAAAGTACCTGCCAGTAAACATCTTATATAGTCAACCAATAAAATTACAATGTCAAGAAAAATTGAATACAGTCCAATACTTTCAAGAAGTACCATAGTAGACACAGAAGTACATAAGAGACAATAAGGTGCAGGACTGGATGAACACAGCAGGCCAAGCAGCATCATAGGAGCAGAGAGGCTGACTTTTCGGGCCTAGACCCTTCATCAGA